TGCTCGGGAGCATACTGCGTCAATTTGGAGAGAAGGTCTGCATCCGCGTTTTCCGCCCGGGGAATTTGGGCGATCTTGAACTCTTCGAAGCCTTTCAACAGGGCAAGTACAAGGTCCTTGTATTGTGCCATGCGTCCTTCCCTTGCTTCCATGTTACCGGTCACTTGCCCAACGATCAGGCTAGAGTCAGATTTGATACTGACCCGGCTGATTTTCAGGGCTTGGGCAAGTCTGAGCCCTCCAGCCAGAGCTTCATATTCTGCCTCATTGTTCGTCAGTTTGAAGTTGAAGACGATTGCATGGTAGATCTTGAACCCTTCTGGGTGGTGAACACGATACCACCCCCGTATCCTCTAGGACCGGATGCCCCGTCAACTGCCATCTCCCACCATTGCTCAGTGGGCTTGTTGACCGGTAAGTCTGGAGTTAGACCGGTCATTTCTACTAGGAAGTCAGCAAGGGCCTGGCCCTTAATTGCTGACCTTGGCCGGTACTCAATGTTGAATTGAGTTAACATCATCGCCCACTTCACCATCCTCCCGGAGGATGTTGAATTTCGCAACACTGCACCCAGCGGTTGGTCAGTCAAAACTTCTACCGGGTGAGCTTGGAAGTAGGATGTTAACTTTTTTGCGGAGATGAAAAGCGCATAGGCTGTCTTTTCCATCGCCGTATATCTACTCTCAGCCCCGTTTAGTGCTTTGCTCACATAATAAATGGGCTTCTGCGCCCCAGCATCTCTTATTAAAACGGAGCTTACAGCATTTGGGGAAATTTCCAGGTACAGATACAGAGTTTCACCCGGTTCGGGTTTAGACAATACAATATCCGACGCTAGGTACTCTTTCAGCTCCTCGAATGCCCTCCGGCATTCTTCGTCCCATGCAAACGTGTTGGCCTTCTTCAGAACTTTGAAGAAGGGCAGGGATCTCTCAGCTGACCGGGAAAGGAACCGGCTGAGGGCCGCTAAACGACCGGTCAACTTTTGAACATCCCTAACGGAGGTAGGGGCTTGCATTTCAGTGATAGCCCGGATTTTTTCTGGATTGGGCTCTATTCCTCTCTTGGTCACCATGAATCCCAAGAACTTCCCGGTACGAACCGCGAAGACGCATTTCTTAGGATTCAGCCGGTGGTTGTATCTTGCCATGATATCGAACGTGGCTCGCATATCAGCCGGGTGGTTCAGAGATACCTGGCTTTTGATCAGCATGTCGTCGACGTATGCCTCCATGGTCTTTCCCAGTAGTGGCTTGAAGAGTTTGTTCACCATGCGCTGGTAGGTTGCCCCCGAGTTCTTCAAGCCAAACGCCATTACTCGGTAGCAGTAGGTTCCTTCGGGTGTGAGGAATGACGTCTTCTCTTCATCTTCCTTGGCCATGTAGATTTGGTGGTAACCCTTGAAGGCATCCATGAAACTTAGGAGTTCGCACCCCGCAGTTTCATACACCATTTGATCCGGACTAGGAAGGGGGTATGAATCCATCGAACAAGCCTTGTTCAGGTCCGTATAATCCACACACATTCTCCATGTGTCGCCCTTGGGAGCAAGGACAACGTTGGCCAACCAATCCGGGTATTTGACTTCCCGGATGTGACCAACACTGAGGAGGTCCTTCACTTCCTTCTTGACGAACTCTCGCCAGTCACTGGCCAGGTACCGCTTCTTCTGTCGTACCGGTCGACTTCCCTCCCTCACGGCCAACCGGTGGCAGATAACAGAGCAATCTATCCCGGGCATATCCGCCACGCTCCATGCAAATATGCCCGCGTATTCTTGGAGGACCCGTGTAATCTGTGTCTTGAGATCCTCGGGGAGATTTGCTCATATTCTGACCATCCTCGAAGAATCACCCGGGTGAAGTTCGATTTCCACCGTCTCAGCCTCGGGCTCCAATTTCCCCCGGGTCTCTCCCTTTGTGATCTCTTGGGAGATGACATTGACCCCCTTGGTCATTTTCTTGAGTGCCCGGGCATAGCACTCCCGGGCGTTCCTCTGGTCGCCCTTCACCTCATCCACACCACCTGGAGTGTGGAACTTCATGCATAGATGAGGCATGGAAATCACCGCCCCGACTCTATTGATGCCTGGCCTTCCAAGAATTGCGTTGTGGACGCATTTGATGTCCACAACTATGAACCGCATCTTCTTCCACACGGTCTTTTCACCTGATCCTAGTTCGACCGGTAGAACTATGGATCCTTTAGCTTCAACGGTGTCCCCCGTGAAGCCTGAGAGAGGGGTTTTGAGGGGTTCAAGTTGTGTTCGACACAACCTGAGTTTTTGGAAGGTCTCCAGGTATAAGATGTTGACACTGCTGCCGGTGTCAACAAGTACCCGGGCGACATCCACCCCATTAATGTCCATGGTGATGACCAATGGATCATTGTGATCTTCACCGGTAGGAGGGAGATCCCGGTCAGTAAAGACGAT